AGTTTCAGTCTTTCACAACTAAAGATTTAACTGAGGTTAAGAAACACCTCTTCAAGCTTACTCAAGAAACACGGAAACAAGTTCCAAAGATAGAAATAGGTAGATGTATTCAGCTGTGGGATAGGAAAACAAGCGTTTCCTGTTAACGAAGTTTGTTTACTTAAACCTGGAGTTGGTTCTCACTTTCGCTACCAAACTTGAATCATAATCAGACTTCCTATCTCATTAAAATCTAACCTAAGGCCACGCGTCTTAACACCTTTCGAGTTCTTTGTTCTGATCTGTTGAACCAGTTTTAGCCAAATTTCACTTACTTTTCTGATCTCAAACTACAATTTCTTTCGACACAATCTTAGGAAAATTTAGTTTTTTTTTTCAAACTATCGTTTTGGTTCCCCGTGAAGGAATTTGGGTATAGAGATATTTCTAGTTTTCCAAATTTCTTCCACGCGTAGTGGGAATCAACTCAATTTCAGTTCCTTTTGTTCTCTAAACTCTGACACTTACTAACACCTTTTCGTTGCATATGAATGCCATGTAAAACTGTAAAAAATCAATTAACTTAATAGTTCAATATAAACAGAACCTCTTGTAACTATAGTTTCACAGTTACGCCTTAAGATCTGAGATAGCTAAGAGGAGTTTGTAACCTCAACGGAAAGATTAAAACCATCGTCAACTTCCAAACTCTGGTTGTGTCACCTCTCTTCAAGTAATCCTAAAGTCTGTTGAAGTCCCCCTCACCGGTAAAAAGTCTTATCTTGATCCAGGTTTTCCCTTAATAATTTAAATACAAAATGTAGATTTATTGATATAATGACGTCTCTGACTAACTTTTGCCATAACTATCATGTAACACCTTCCTCAAATAAGCGCCGCACCCTCTCAACAATAGTGCGAAGCGCATTAATTGGTATTGTTAGACATTTTTAAAGGTGAAAATTATTATTGTTGTTATCATTCATTGATTTATTTCTCAAAGGGGGAAAAGATGTCAAAGCTACTCAAGCTTACTTTTTGCAAAGTTTTTTTTGTTGTTGTTTCTTAATTTCAATGTCATTTTAACCTCTTGTTTAACTACACAAGGAAAGAGAGGCTGCAAACGAATAAAGACAAGATACATTTTATGTCTTTATTAATTTTTGTCTCCGAAGTCTACAAAAGGTCACATGTTAATTTTCGCCCACACAAATATTAATGATCTTCTAAGTTTCACTGGGAAAGCGTCCAGTATCGAGGTCTTTTGTCAGTATAAGTTCGTATACTCTCATTTTTCTTCAAAGTCTACTCTAGAGAAGCTAAGGAAACCTGAGATTACTGGCCCCAATTTTACAAGCTGATAACAAAAATCTTTTTGGAGTGTTGTATTTAA